CATACCCGGTGGTTATTTGGTCGGGTATTTTAAAAAGCTCTACCCGGCGGGTTAGGAGTTGGTATAGGGTAAACCCGCCCCCGACCCTACCCATTGCCATCCCTACTGGCTAGTGAGATGATGCTTATGGTTTTTGCTGGTAATGTCAAAGCGGTGTTTGATAAGGTTCTGAAAGGTCATTCGTTGGTCAGAACTCATTATGGTCTTTCTTGTTTTTTGCCACATAACTTTCATATCTAACTAGGGATGACAATTTCGACTTGACCAATTTTACTCGATCTGTTTGGCCTATTTTGGGGTGGGGCGGGGCATGCATGGCTGAACTCATCAACTCGACCTACCCTAAACCGCCTCATTCTCGACCCGTTCTTGCCTAAATTACATGTAATTTTAGTCAAATTACTTACAATTTTCCTTTTATCATATCATATTTTAGCTAAAATAAGTTGTAAATTAGTGAAAACCTCAATTTGTCTAATAACCTAACTATGTTTATCATATTATGGTTTGTTTCTTAATCTTATAATGAAAATAACGAATATTTCTAATGTTTTCCATATAAATTACATACTCATAGGGTCGACCTGCCCCGACCCGAGTTTCATGATAATTTATCCGACCTCAACCCAACCTGCCACGAAATAGGTATGAGTATCGAGATACCCGGCCCGAACCTGCAGATTGCCATTCCTATATCTAATTGTTTGCTCAAAGTCACGAGTGATTTTTTGGGGAAAAAAATATTGAAGTACTAATCTATCACTAATTTGTTGCCCACAAGAATACCACTTCCCTGGTACTTCGAGCTGCGAAGAAAAGAAAGAAAGAAGCCGCCGCTTCCCCACCGCTTCCCCGGTACTTCGCCTTTCGTCTTCCGCCGCCGTTTGGGAGGATCCCGCCGCAGCCCTGGCCTCCGTTTGCTGCTGTGATGGTTGCTTTAGTGATCTCCTCTCTTTCTCTTCCCCCGACAAACCACCGCCGCGCGCCGTTCCGCCCTCGCCGATTGAATCGCTCACAGGACCGGCTCCGGCGTCCCCTTCTTCTTCTTCTTCCAACCCGCTACGATTCGGTGACAATCGAACCAGTCCTACCTCTGGCCGGCTCTGCTATCCTTGTGCGCTCCCCTCTCTGCCACGAGAAGCTGGAGATTTCCTCCAGCCGGCGCTGCTCACTGATTCATCCACTGTGGTTTCTATTGGGTGACGTTCTCTCCACTCTTTCATTTTTGTCCGATCTTCTTTGAGGATTATTCCTAGGTGTGGCAGTCGGTCGGTTTCGGTTTAACCGAAAACCGAAAATCCGGTTATCGGTTAAACTGAGCCACCCCCTATAGCTGCCGACCACCGACCGTGAGGTGTGTCACGGTTAGCTGACCAACCAACCGGTCAAATTCGGTTTTAGGCTCGGTTAGCCGGCCAACCAGAAACTACCTTTTCTACAAAAAAAAAATTAAAAAACCAAAAATTATGCACCACTCATCTCAAACCTTATCTCCTCCTCTCTCCTTCCTTCCACCAAAGATCCAAGCTTTCTCTCCTCTTTCCACTCTTGCTCAGATATGGCTCCGACGCCATCTTCTTCCTCCAAATTGAACCCTACTCATCACTCTTTCAAGACTCCCCAATCCAAACAGCGCCTCAATTTCAACCCCGGTAGAACTCCCAACCACCAACCCTCGCCAAACCCTAATCCCGCCGTCAGAGAAGTCCAGCCGATCGACCACCCGATCGAGGTCATCGGACGCATCAGGGATTTCCCCCGATCGGAAGGAGAAGCCGGTTTCAGTGTTGAACGTGAACCCCGACAGCGAGACAGTCAGAGTCCGGGCAGAAATCGGCTACAGGGACTTCACCCTCGATGGGGTTTCTCTGTCGGAGCAGGAGGACCTTGATTCGTTCTACAAGAAGTTCATTGAATCGAGGATTACTGGAGGGTTGAGATGCAGAGGTACGGCGCGGCGCAGCGCTTACCGCGATGGGAAGCAGGCGGAGGGCGAGGTGCAGGGACGACGACGCGGCGGCAGAGGCGAGGTGGAGGGCGACAGAGGTGCGGCGGCGGCGAGGTGGACAGAGGTGCAGCGGCGGCAGCGAGGTGGACGAAGGGGTGAGAGTTTGTTGAGATCTAGGGTTTTGGGGAAGGTTAGGTGAGTGGAGGTGGAGATAATGGACAGATTTTGGGGAAGGTTAGGTGGGTCTCGGTTGGGGTCGGTTAATCGGATAACCGCGGTTAATCACCGTCGGTTACTCGGTCAACCGACTCCTTCCTTTTCCCAGCCGACCACCGACCGTCAAGGTAACCGGTCGGTTTTTGGTTAGCTTGTAACCGATCGATTTTCGGTTGTAACCGACGGTTACCCACTAACCGGCAACCGAAATGCCAGCCCTAATTATTCCTCTTGCTTCTTGCAGCTATCTTTTCGGTATCTCGGCTCTTTTGTCGACGCTGACGTTATGGCGTTTGCCCTGGCCGGTGAGCTTTGATTCCAATTCTTGTTTAGTCTGTTTCTTGTTTCGTGGTTACTTTTTACCGTGTTTAATTAGCTTGCTGAGTGTAGGAGCTACTTCTCAGATCTTCGTTCATCGTCCGTGCTGTGAGGCGTTGCAGTGTTCGTGTCACCAGCTTCTTCAGTTCTAAAATCCACGTTGCCTGTTTTGTTCTCTTTTTTTATTTATTTACAATTGACAGGTGGTATTCCATGGCTTGCTCTTAGAGGTGGCAAATGGATTGGATTGGTGGATTGATGGATTGGATTGGTGGATCCATGGATCAAATGGATTGGTGGATTCATGGATTGGATCAAGTGGATTGGTGGATTATCCATGAATCCAAATGACATCCTCAACCAAGGACTAATATGTAAAATGTAAAAAGTTTAGGTACTAAAATGTCACAATGAAAAATTTTAGGTACCAAAACGTAATCATCCATTGATATTTTTCGTATAAAAAATTAAATTTTAGGTACCAAAATGTAAAAAATAAAAATTATAGGTACTAAACCGTAATTTGCCAATGATCCATGGATCCAATCCATGAATCCACCAATCCAATTGGATTTGGATCAAATGGATTGGATTATATGGATATTTTTAATGGATTGATGGATTGGATTGGTGGATTGGATTGAAATTACCACCTCTACTTGCTCTTATCCTTATGCTCAGGAATGTGGTGAGTGTTTTATTTATTCCTTTTTCGTGTAGTTTTACCTGGTAAAGTGGGGCCTATGTCTAACCCGAATTGTATGATAGTGTATGTTTTTTATCTACGGATATTTTGTTGTTAGATTTGCAGGAATTTGTTGCATCACTGTCACCTTGAAAGCCACAAGAGTTTGGTCCATTACTTCCGCCCTAAAAAGGGTTGAAGCTCAAACATGGACTCTGGTCAATGAGTAGGTATATTAGGGCTACCCATATCGTGGCAAACAAAGCCCTCTTGTCATTGGATCATCCAACGCTTCTTCCTTATTTATCTTTTATATTTTGATCTGTATAGGTCTTGTGCTTATATCTCGTATTTTGCTGTTTCCCATCTTGTGGGATACCTTTCGGGAAAAAAAAGAATACCACATATTGTAGTAGATGACCATTGATTTTTTTATTAATAAAAACTTAAAAAGTGATTTCACCTATATTATCACAAAACTACTATAGGTTTTCTAATAACTTTTTTTTATATTTCTGAGTGATATCAATGAGAAATAATAGTTAAGCTTACAATTCTACCCAGGACCCCTAAGAGACTCTAAAGAAGCCACCCCAAGAAATCAAAAGATTCTAGCTCTACAAGAGACAAAAGCAGTGCTTTACGCGCCACTCTATGGGCAACACTGTTGGCGGATCTAGGTACCGCCCTAAACTCTATACAAATAGACAAAGAGCTAAGGATCTGAAGACACTCTCGTAGCACTGGACCACCAATCGAGTCTTCCGAGACACCTTGAAGGACTTGGTTGACGACCACTTCGGAATCACCTTCGACTATCACATGGGTCAAGGATCTAGAGGCCACAAAGGAGATAGCATCCCTGAGCGCTAGCAGCTCAGCCACGGATAACAAGCCCGGACGAACACCCGGAGGCACCGACAGCTGCCTCGACGTTGATCTAATAACTAAGTTCATTTATAATATGGGTAGCTCACAAATTTACACATTTGACGATAATTTTTTTTTTAATATAAAAGGAAAATCTAAAATGGGTAAGTACAAATAATTAACCAAAATAATTTAACACCCAATTAAATATAACACGAACAAGAGTTTGGCCTAGTGGTAATACAAATAACCTAGAACGAGGTTCGAATTTTTTAAGTAGTATCTCAATTTCAACAAAAGTAAAACCTATATCCCTTAAGGCTTGTTCCTTTATTTTATTTCAATTAATAAAATACAGTAAAAATTTAATTATGGATCTAGTACAAAACTCATACAAACAAAACCTACAAACCTCCATATTTTATCATTCCTAATACGAATCTTATAAAGATGGCAAAATTTATAGCAATAGTGGTAACTAGTCTTGTAAGATATGGGGGTTGTAGCTTTACATATGAGTTTTGTACTAATACTCGGGACCATTCAAATTAATCAACACTTCCCTTGATATGAGTTTTGTCTTATTTTAACATGAACGTGTACTAATATTATTGGATTGTTTTTGTTGTTCAAATATAAAATTTAAAGGTGAATCATCAATGGATGTCAATCAAAGATCAGTTTAATCGTTCACTCCAACTTAGATGGGGTTTTTCTCCAGCTGGGAAATTTGGGTGCCGATTCCGTATCTATTGTAGGACTGGGATTAGCTTGGAGACGAAACCAAAGCTCCCAAGTTAGCCAGTGGATGTAAGAGCAGGTTATTTTTAGTCTCCACTATCAGTAGTTTCACCTGTGTTTGTTGGTATGGAACTCAAATCTTAATCCCACATCGGAGACCATTAAGATCCTAATCCTGTATTTAATTGGCACGCTAACCTAGGCTCTCGCTGAGTTTGGTAACGCGGACTTGTGACCCGAGTGGGAGCAATAAGGTGTTGGGACATTGGGCCAACTGATGAGGTTGGGCCTTGTGTAGCTGAATCCCGACCTGCCCGTTCCAAGTTTGGAGCTGGAGTTCTGCTTCCTCGGCGAAAGCCTGAGGAGGCCGTTCTCCTAGAGCGGATGATGTCAGGCTGGTTTAACAGAGCAGCGACAACCTCTCCCTTCAGTCAGTGGAAGGATAACAGGTCGGTGCTGGCAGATCCCGTTGGACCTCATCTGTCGCCTAAAATGAACCACCATTTTTTTCTCATTGGGCAAAACCCCAAATTATAACTTATTGATGGTGGGTCTCATTTTTTTAGTTTGTGAGCACTGGTGAAATCCATAATAAAAAAATGCTTTCATGGCCTTTCTTCCCCGTAGGTAGTGATGGCAATTTGAACTTGCCCTGTAATGGGATGGGTATTACCCGATCCACAGTAGTGTGGGACAGGAAATGGGTATCTACTTACGATCCGTTCCGTTCTTGGCCTATTCTATCTCGATTTCTTATATTATATTTTGACTATTTTTCAACTAGTTAGAGTCGATCTTTCAACTAGTTAGACTCAATTACCTATTTTATTATCACTATTTTTCATTCATAAATGTTTTCCCCTTCATTTATAATTTATTATTATAAAAAGTAAAATTTTGCGTATTTTTTTTTTCAAATAACATGTGAGAGTGGACAACCCGCCCCTTACCCACGCGGTATTACCCCGTACCGACCAACAATAACGTGGGGCGAGACATAAGTATTAAGGTACCCGTCGCACCCTGCCCCATTGCCATCACTACTTCCGCATGACAACCGGCGGCTGATTTTTCGTCCCACCATGAACCCATATGAAATGGTGCTTCTTTTCTTGACTAGTTATTCACTTTTTTTTTCTTCCTCCCAAATATATCTCCCAAATATATAAGGAGGTTCTTGGGCAGCGACAACCTCTCCCTTCAGTCAGTGTAAGGATAACAGGTCGGTGCTGGCAGATCCCGTTGGACCTCATCTATCGCCTAAAATGAACCACCATTTTTTTCTCATTGGGCAAAACCCCAAATTATAACTTATTGATGGTGGGTCTCATTTTTTTAGTTTGTGAGCACTGGTGAAATCCATAATAAAAAAATGCTTTCATGGCCTTTCTTCCCCGTAGGTAGTGATGGCAATTTGAACTTGCCCTGCTATGGGATGAGTATTACCCGATCCACAGTAGTGTGGGACAGGAAATGGGTATCTACTTACGATCCGTTCCGTTCTTGGCCTATTCTATCTCGATTTCTTATAGTATATTTTGACTATTTTTCAACTAGTTAGAGTCGATCTTTCAACTAGTTAGACTCAATTACCTATTTTATTATCACTATTTTTCATTCATAAATGTTTTCCCCTTCAGTTATAATTTATTATTATAAAAAGTAAAATTTTGCGTATATTTTTTTTCAAATAACATGTGAGAGTGGATCGACCCGCCCCTTACCCACGCAGTATTACCCGATACCGACCTACAATAACGTGGGGCGAGACATAAGTATTAAGGTACTCGTCCCACCCTGCCTCATTGCCATCACCAATGTAGTTAACATCACGCTTTAAAACTTAAAAACTTACGATTTTACGCTTTTAGGTCACCAAAACGCTTTCGTTTGCATATCAAAACTTAAGTGTATAAAATCATACTAAATTGCGCTTTAAAGCTTAAAAGCTTACGCTTTTACGCTTCTAGTTCACCAAAACGCTTTACGTTTTTACGCTTTTAGTTCACTAAATGAGTATTCTTTTCATGAAATTAATTATAAAAAGTTTATTTTAAAAGTAAATCATCAACAATATGGTACATTTGAGATTAAAAGATACATTACCGGTACTTGGATGCATTCTCAACTTCAATAGAGTAATCTAATTCACCAGCTAGGCCATTAGCATAGAAGGAAAAGTGGCTTAGTGTTAAAATTTATGTTTACAAACTTATTATTAAGATGCTATAAGTTGCTCTACTTTAGGCATGAATTGCATGTATTTATTAACTTATCTAAAGTTTGTGCATTCATATTTTACATAGTATATGCCCTACTTAATAGATTTTTAGTTATTTTTCAGTATGCGTAAAAAACTTACGCTTTAACGCTTTGATTCTGCGCTTTACGATTTTACCCATTTTCCGATTCTATGTAGAATCACGCTTTTAACTGCATTGGCCATCACTACTTCCGCGTGACAACCGGCGGCTGATTTTTCGTCCCACCATGAACCCATATGAAATGGTGCTTCTTTTCTTGACTAGTTATTCACTTTTTTTTTCTTCCTCCCAAATATATCTCCCAAATATATAAGGAGGTTCTTGGGCAGCGACAACCTCTCCCTTCAGTCAGTGGAAGGATAACAGGTCGGTGCTGGCAGATCCCGTTGGACCTCATCTGTCGCCTAAAATGAACCACCATTTTTTTCTCATTGGGCAAAACCCCAAATTATAACTTATTGATGGTGGGTCTCATTTTTTTAGTTTGTGAGCACTGGTGAAATCCATAATAAAAAATGCTTTCATGGCCTTTCTTCCCCGTAGGTAGTGATGGCAATTTGAACTTGTCCTGCTATGGGATGGGTATTACCCGATTCACAGTAGTGTGGGACAGGAAATGGGTATCTACTTACGATCCGTTCTTGGCCTATTCTATCTCGATTTCTTATAGTATATTTTCACTATTTTTCAACTAGTTAGAGTCGATCTTTCAACTAGTTAGACTCAATTACCTATTTTATTATCACTATTTTTCATTCATAAATGTTTTCCCCTTCAGTTATAATTTATTATTATAAAAAGTAAAATTTTGCGTATATTTTTTTTCAAATAACATGTGAGAGTGGATCGACCCGCCCCTTACCCACGCGGTATTACCCGATACCGACCTACAATAACGTGGGGTGAGACATAAGTATTAAGGTACCCGTCCCACCCTGCCCCATTGCCATCACTACTTCCGCGTGACAATCGGCGGCTGATTTTTTGTCCCACCATGAACCCATATGAAATGGTGCTTCTTTTCTTGACTAGTTATTCACTTTTTTTTTTCTTCCTCCCAAATATATAAGGAGGTTCTTGGGCAGAACCCATCCCTTTCCGTTTTTCCTGATTTGTGCGCATAATACGGAGGGACCGCTCGATCCTTTTGCCAATCTCAATTAATCAATTAATTTAAGACAACTTACTATCACTGGACGTAGGGGTGAACAAAACAACCCGCAAATTGACCCACCCGTCTAACCAAACCCAATCCACATGTATTTATCTTTAAAATTAAAGTTTAAGGTTGGGTGAGGATTTTCTTTTGTACAACCCTCCTCTTTTAGGTTGGGTCCGAATTTTGGGTAACGCAACCCGTAGAACCCGACCCAACCCGTGTTGAACTATTGTCATAGGTGTTCATATACAACACATATTTGTGTCATAAATAAACATATTTGTGAGAAAATTAAGCTATTTTATCATATTTTTCTCTTGTGATTTCTCTAGTCTAATACATTCTTCAACTTAATATTTAGACATAGATTTAATATAAGTTGTGATTCACGTAATTTTTTTCTTGTGTGTACAATTTTAGAAGAATAACATATTATGAATGTGTTAGCTTATAATTTCTTTAGCTTACTTTGACAAATATTTATAAAAAAACTAGACATATGTTGAAGTAAATTGCATTTCATTAGAATCCAAACAATATTTATGCATATTGAAACTTTTTGCCTCGATTTATTTGTTTGAAATCTTAATTAGTCATATAATATTGTCGTAGTGTATAATAGTTGTCTGTTTTGTGTTGGGTTGGATATTTAATTAAAAGTATCTCCAACCCGACCCAACCTAATTATAAACAAATAGTAGGGTTTTAATTTTTTTTTTGGGTTGGGTTGGATTGAACATTTTCAAAACCATAGTATATGGGTCGGGTGATTAAAATGACCAAACCCGAACCACCCGACCCATGTACACCTAACTGGATGTAGACGCTTATAAATAAAAACAAAACATATTTCTTCTGCTTAATTCCAACAAAGCATCGAAAACATTAAACGTAAATATTACTGGAAGGAGATGAAAACTTGATTAGTCTTTCCAAACATATAATATATTGAAGAAATATTTTCCGCAGAGTATTGAAATGCAAGAGAAGAACGAAGAGACCATCAATTATGCAGATAAATGTCTTACTAACGGAGATGCAGACAATATTATTAGTGGAGATGATGATGTTGTTCATGACGAAGGAAATGCAAATAAAAAAAAAGTAAAAAATCAAATGTGCAGTAATCTCTAACGATAAGGAGTAAACAGAAGCATGATTTGAGAATGTCTTTAAGAGATGGTCCCCTTATATAGGTTTTTTTCATTTTCAAAAAATGATTTTAGTCGAACATTCATTAAAATGTCGGAGAGTAGTGTAACGTTAATCCTTTTGAATTGTTGAAATATTTTTTATAATTTGAATTCTCTTATTTTACCAATCAATTGAATACTTTGTATATTTTAATTTTATTATACTACCAAAAAATGTTTATCTCGCATACAAATTGCTATTATTGTTTACGTGAATGGCGATGGAATGCGGCCAACTAGCTGGGCACGTGACTAGTTTTCTATATCCAGATTCTGTAGTGGCCACCGCTGCATGTGAAGGGGAAAGAAGGAGGGTTGTATTCATTTTTTTATTTATTTATTAAATAATTAGATATTTTAATTAATTTATATTGTCTACGTGGCATCCACATCAACACTACATGTTGATTCATTAACGGTCAACAGTATTGACCATCCAAATTGACGAAAATTCACCGATCAGGCCAAACTAGTCTATATGGTGCATAGTTCATGTCAAAATAGTAATTTATTAAACCACGGGCCAAAATTAATTATTTAGGTATAGTTCAGGCTGTATTAACCCATTTTTAAAATATATAATTGATATATCTACATAATAAAAAAAATAGTATTACGATGTCATGTCATGATGGAATACAAAATAAATTCTTTTATTTAGATACATAATGATCCAAATGGAGATGAGGTTTTCTCATACTAACTAATTTGGGAATGTAGTAACTAGTAAGCAAATAAAACTAATGTACTTTGATAAGTGTCAGGTTGTTGTCTTCCCAAACTATCTTTAGAGGAAAACAACTTCGAACAAACATTTCACATCTCTACTAGAGGTGCTCGCTCTAGTTTCTTTGCCATTAGTTAACTTACCACCGAGTTTCTTGTTACTTAATTTCATTTGCAATTGTGTTGCAGGAGGGACAGACGAGAGTTCCAGGTTTATGTGTTTGATCTTTGACGTGTTAAGAGCAGACCATGTTTTTATTTTATTTTTATAGACGACTCACTGCCATTTCCAGATTCGTCATAGTAATCAAGAGGATCCGATCTAGGACAAGTTCATCTTTAGATTCTGAATAATGGAATGCTGCCGTTGGCAAGCAAGCAAAGCTTGCAAGTTAATTAGCTAGTGGATGTAAGTACAGGTTCACCTGTGTTTGTTGTTTCAATGGAACTCAAATCTTAATCCCACATTGGAAACTATTAAGATGCAAACGTTTTATTTAATTGGCACGCTTTCCTAGGTGGTTGCTGAGTTCGGTAACGCGGGCTTGTGACCCAAGTGGGAGCATTAAAGTGTTGGGACATTGGGCTGACTGATGAGGTTGGGCTTGTGTGGCTGAACCCTGGCTTGCCCGTTCCAAATTTGGAGTTGGAGTTATGCTTCCTCGGCGAAAGCTTAGGAGACCGTCCTCCTAGAATGGAGGGTACCGCGTCAGGCTGGTTTAACAGAGCAGCGACAACCTCTCCCTCTAGACAGTGAAAGGATAACAGGCCCGTACTGGCAGATCCCGTTGGTCCTCATCGGTCGCCTTAACTGAACCAACACTTTTTTCACATTGGGGCCGGCTATGAAGCCCAGATTAGTTGTGGTGGGTCTCATATTTCTTTTCTTCTCTTTTGGTCTTATTTTAACATGAAATGAACTAATATTA